GCTTGGGAGAAAGGAATGAGGAAGAGGTACAAGCTGCTTTGTACAGGGGCATCCAATGTTGTTGGTTTCCTTCCCCCACTCAGCCTTGGAAACAGCTTTAGGTACCAGGTGAACCTGCCGATGATGTGGGCGTAGCCAGGATTTTTGTTAGGGGGGGGGCAGAACCTCAGATATGTGTTGATTTGTATTGATGTAGGGACACGGGTGGCGCTGTGGGTTAAACCACAGAGCCCAGGACTTGCCAATCAGAAGGTCGGCGGTTTGAATCCCCGTGATGGGGTGAGCTCCCGTTGCTCGGTCCCTGCTCCTGCCAACCTAGCAGTTTGAAAGCACGTCAAAGTGCAAGTAGATAAATAGGGACCGCTCCAGCAGGAAGGTAAACGGCGTTTACGTGCGCTGCTCTGGTTCGCCAGAAGTGGCTTAGTCATGCTGGCCACATGACCTGGAAGCTGTATGCCGGCTCCCTCGGCCAATAAAGCGAGATGAGCGCCGCAATCCCAGAGTCAGCCACAACTGGACCTAATGGTCAGGAGTCCCTTTACCTTTAGATTTATTTAGGGGAGAAGTTGCCCCACCCTGGCTATGCCCGTGGCCCATGAGACTTGGCAAAGCAGTTGCCTCAGGGCAGCAAGATCAGGAAAGCTAGGAAGGGCAGCAGATCTGGGCCCATGAGGTATGTGCCACTCACCCCCCTTCCCCCCTCCCTTTACCTCCCATTTTTCTTGGTGTTGTCATAGGCAACAGGGGTGGAGTCACTGGCAGAGATTGCATTTTCTATTTTGCCTCAAGCAAACAACAGCATGGGCTGGCCCTGTTGGGTACTATGCACAGGTCATACAATACATCCATTTCTCTGCTTATTTTGAAGATTTATACCCAGGGCTGAGTTCTGGCACCCTTTAGGCACTTTATGGCACCTCTGTAGCATTGCCTATTTTTAAAAAAGCTCACCAACTTTGGTTGGTTGCCCCCCCCCCCCAAAAAAAATCAAGTTCCAGTATTGTTATGTACTGAAGTTCTCACCCTGGGCCAGCAGGGGGATACTGTAGATAGTTATGCAAATAAGGTATCAAAAGTGACGTTCAGTGATTGGATAGTTTTAGAAAATTGTTACAGTTACGTTGTACTGGAGCTCTATATAAGCAGGCTGACTGAACCCTTCAGTTCAGTTCTGTTCTGGCCTGTGAATAAACAAGAGCTGTTTGAAGAATCGCTGTGTCATCTGATATGTTCACCCACATCATAACAAGTATCTCTCTTTTTTTATAGAAAAAAACCCTGCTTATACCTCACCTTTCAATCAGCACAATCAATTTCAAATCAAATACAAATTGTAATGATTTTTACAAAGAAAGCTGATCTCTCTCTCTTCCCCTCGGTCAGCAGCCCTTAATTCTCTGACAGGTAAATGGTGCCAGCTCTGGCTTCCCTTTGGTTCTGCAACCCCAGATCACAAATGAGAGGCTTCTGATTTGTAGTGCTATTGCCCTAAGCATGGTTCCCGGTTGCAGTTCCCCCAGGAAGCAAGAAACAGTTGCCCTGTTGCATCTTGATCCTTGGATTATCACGTGTCTACCCCACGCTGCTTTCTCCAGAAGCTTAAAACTTACTTGATTAATCAACTTAGATTTGTTTAATTGGGTGACAATCCTGCCCCACAAAAGAATAAAAGAAAATATTTTAAAAACCGGTTATAGATTCAGATTCTATCAGAACTGTCTCTGGGTAAATATTTTCAGGACGTGGGGTTTGCGGCACACTAAGGATCAGGTGGGTCACCCGGGGAACAACTGAGCTAACACTCTGCTCCAGCCCCGGACAATGAGGCCTTTGAAATGGACCAGTTTTCTTCTGGATGTGTGCCTAGAAAAGGCATCCATTCTCTTTCTGCAGCCCTCGTTATATTGCAGCAACAGCTAAAAAGTGTTGACGGAAAGCTTCAAAGCAGTGCTCTGTGACATTGTTAGCAGAGTGTGGGAAACGACCGACCCCTTTAAGCTACGAGTTGCGATTTCTCCCTGCGAAAACCCTGCACAGCAGCAGCAGCAGCAGAAGCCAGCACAGCAGAAGACTCTGCTTAAGCAGAGAGTGCATGTTGAACAGGAGTAAAAAATGACATTACTACTGTTTGTGGAAATGCTGATAAGGACGGTTGTGTGGAAGGAAGAGAGGAAGTGGTTAGGCAAGTTTGCATTTTTAGTTTTCTACGGAAGGAACAAAAGGATCTCTGTGTTGCAGAATTAAGCTCTTTTCCTGGCAATTTAGACACTCTACAAAGAGAAGGCTACTCCTGTGTAATGTTCATGAAAACTACTGCAACTTCTGCCATGGCTGTCTTGAGCCTTCCTCTGGATTGGGACCCCAGAGTGTAAACCTATTGGATCCCCCACACTTTCCCTTTCCCTGGTGCTATGGTGTGCGGCAGGCTGAATCCCAGGAGAGCCACTGCCAGTCAGTGTTGACACTATTAAGCTAGACTCAGTCTAAGGAAGCTTCCTGGGTTCCCTGCTTCTTTAAAGGGGAAGGCTGTAGCTCACTGGATGTATGGGATATTGGAAAACGCCAATGAAAACAGAAACAGGAGCAGAAACGGCCGACACTCACTTATTCTGTAACAGAAAATGATCCAGTGAATACAATCGGTATTTGGTGTTCTGCTTTCTACCTGCAAACAAAACAGTAACTGAGTACGTCCTCCCTCCTCCATTTGCATTAGGTTTCCCTTGCACTGAAATAAATGGGGTGGAATAATGTAATGAAAATGTAACATGTAATTAATTATCTAGATTACGTAAACTAGGTAGTTTTGCCACAGTGGACAGCAGGATAAACAACATGGTTTTTGGCAGAAAGTGAACTGCAGTGGAACAGAAGCAGTGTTGTATGCGATGAGCATAGGGGCTAATGGAAGATGGTGCCTTCTTCCATCTCTGGTGGAAGAGCAACTGTTTTGCATGCAGAAGGCCCCGGGTTCAATCCGCAGCATCTCCAGGTATCCATGGCATCTCTGCCTGCAACTCTGGAGAGCCACTATGTGTCATGTTGGCAGGCAATAATCAGCTAGATGGATCAAAGGGTTGACTTGGGGTAAGGCATCTTCCTCTGATTCTAGGAACTTTGGACAGAGCCAGGAGAGTTCTTGTGATGTTCTTAGGTCCTGTCTCTGGACCACGCAGGCCCTGAAACCACAAAGAAGGGACCTGGGACAGCCGCCTCCAGGTTCTGCCTCAAAGACACAAGGTGTTTGCTTCATTGTATGCACACACACAGAGCTTTCTTTTTAATTCTCCAAGGCTTTTCAACCAAATTTGAAGCTTTGGCTTTTCAGTTTTGCGTGAGTTTAATTTTATTGCTTACTCTCTGCTGTGATGCTATTATTATTATTATTATTATTATTATTATTATTATTATTATTTTATTGCAGTAGTGTTTCAGTGTTCATTTTGCAGGAGAGTTTCACTTATAAGGTGCTGTTGTTAAGCAAATAAATAGGTCCTCATTCTCTAATTTTCAAGAGAAGTCCAGATTTCACAATGCATCTTAGAATGCAATTAAAATAATATAATTTTAAAAGCAATAAACATTTCCTAATACTGTGAAACCTGGGACACGGGTGGCGCTGTAGGTAAAAGCCTCAGCACCTAGGGCTTGCCGATCCAAAGGTCAGCGGTTCGAATCTCCGCGGCGGGCTGCGCTCCCGTTGCTCGGTCCCAGCGCCTGCCAACCTAGCAGTTCGAAAGCATCCCCGGGTGCAAGTAGATAAATAGGGACCGCTTTCTAGCGGAAAGGTAAACGGCGTTTCCGTGTGCGGCTCTGGCTAGCCAGAGCAGCGATGTCACGCTGGCCACGTGACCCGGAAGTGTCTCCGGACAGCGCTGGCCCCCGGCCTCTTGAGTGAGATGGGCGCACAACCCTAGAGTCTGTCAAGACTGGCCCGTACGGGCAGGGGTACCTTTACCTTTACCTTTAATACTGTGAAAACATTTATTCTCTCCCCTCTTCAGTTTAATTTAGGACAGTCCCTCCCAACCTGGGGCCCTCCAGGTGTTTGCAACTACAACTCCCATCAGCCTCGATCAGGTTGACCATATGATGCTGAGGCTGATGGGAGTTGTAGTCCCAAATACCTGGAGGGGCACAGGATGGTGAAAGCTGCTTCAGAATCTCCCCAGGGCCAAGTTGTCCAGGGGGCAGCCTCTCAAAAGCTGCAGCCAGCCAATTCTCACTGGTTCTCATGAGGAAATGGGAGGTTGATGGGAAATAATTTATGACTTTTGACATGTGGAGGGAAGTTCATTTAAGAAGCAAGGAGACAGCTGGAAATTGGGGGACATTTGCATTTTAATCTGAGGATTTCCATGTACCACCAATTAGAGACAAAAGATACATAAGAAATTCTGATGAATGACACAGGCAGCTCGGTAGCCTTCTCATTACATTGGCATCTGAAGTGGAACCAATGCCATTTATTAATAATTTAATTAAAATGGCAACACATTATTTTTTTCCTGTACTATACAGAACTGTAAACATTAATTTGATACGGTTGAGGATCATGAAATGCAATCTTAATTACTTAGAAACTAGGATAGCCAGTTGAACTGAATCAGGCAGGCAATTATCTTGAGTTTCCCCCCTTTCTTCTTCTCAAAATGAGCATCCATCTTAAATAGTGGAGATAAATAACAAACTGAAAAAATGAATAATATTCTGGAGAACTCTTTGTATAAACAAACCACCCTCCTCCCCAAACTGATCGAACAGTTCTATGACGCTGTTAAGGAATTTCTAAAAATGAGATGTTTTGGTGCTCAAGGCACAAAATGGCTCACACACAAACACACTCAGCATCAGGTGCAAACATCCAAGAGGTTCTTATATGCATGCTCCATTGAAGTGAATGGGGAGTGGTCTACAACTGCACCACAGTGCTCACAGAATCATAGAATGGTACAATGAAGGAATCTCAGCTAAAGCATCCATGACAGGTGGACATCCAACCTCTGCATAAAAACCTCCAAGGAAGGAGAGTCCATAACGTCCTGAGAAGGACCATTCCACTGTCAAACAGCTCTGTCAGCTCCTGCTCTTTGCAATGGGATACCTGGAGAACAAGCCCCACATTCTGGACGGTGGAGAAGGCTCTGAAAAAAAGGTAGGACAGGAGTTCAATTCCGGATTTTTTTGAAGAAGAAGGTGGCGCATAAATTTGTCGCATGTTTCATAAGAACAGGATAAGAACACAGAAAATGCACTGAATTTAATTGCCATATTTCTAGGGTTGAGCCTTTGAATTAAAAATAGCTGCTTCCCGTGTGCCCATTTCATGAGCCATCATCACAGCATGAGCTGGACGCCACACCCGCTTGCAACAACAGAGATAAAGTGGCTTTGTGGAATATGAGGTCATCGCTGGGAATAAAAGAGAACTACAATCAGCAGGCCCTGATGCATTTGGCTATTCAGCCTAACGGGGTTCATGGGCAGCGCATGACGCACACATAGAGCATGATAGAGAAATGGGCCCAAGCACAGCCTTCTTTTGCTGGGCCGATTCTCGCAGACCCACATCCACAGGATGAGAAATCCATGGCCTGTGTAGAGCACAAATCCCCAGGTTTCCATCTCTTCATTGAAGTCGGGCAATGCAAAGAAACCTGAATGTGTCTCTCTCTCTGTGGCTCTTTCAATGAGGGCTGTTGTCATGAATGGCAGGACAACGGGGAGGAGGAAGAGGATCCCAGCAAGGGACTGGGACACACCAGAGCAAGCTGGGGGTGGAGAAGGAGAGGTTGGTGTAGAAAGTGCTCACCGGGCGAGAGAGGATAACGAGGGGATGGAGGTCAGTGGACAGGAACCAGAGCAGCAGGACCCATCACCAGAGCCAGAGGGGCCCCTGTTTCCCCAAACACAGCAGGCTCTGAGGTGTAAGGAGCAGCAGGAGGTGCGCTAGAGGAGGCTAAGGCAGGCACGGCCCCCCAACCCAGATCATTAGCTGCGACGAGGTGTGATTCCTCAGCTGGCTCGGGACAGGTGAATGTCACCTGCCTCATGCAGTTCAGATGCAGCAATCAGCATGCAAGGTATGAAAGGGAAGCAGTGCTGAGGAACACAGCCCTTATCCCTGATATGCTAGCTTTGTACTGTTTTCCTTGGAGCAACTGAGCAGCTCCTGCCCCAAATTGCCCTCCACCCTCAGCTCGCAAGAGCACATTCTCCCTGCCTGCATGCTCTGGCTAGCAAGCAAGACTACTGTATTTTTCGCTCTATGGGAAGCACCAGACGATAAGACGCACCAAGTTTGGGGGGGAGGAAACAAGAAGAAAAAAATTCTGAATCCCAGAAGCCAGAACAGTAAGAGGGATCTGGCTTCTGGTATAGCCTCTTGCTGTTCTGGCTTCTGGGATAGCCGCTGAAGCCTCTCCCGGGCAGCGGGATGAAGGCTCCCCCTGCCTGGAAGAGGCTGCGCACGGGTAAGCTGCCCTATATCCCCTCCCCTCACTTCCTACAAGAGCAGCGCGAAGCCTCCGCAGGGCAGCAGGGAGCCTTCGTCCTGCTGCCCTGCGGAGGCTTCGCAGGGCTATCCAAAAGCCAGAATAGCTAGAGGGAGCACTGTGCAGCTCTCCCTCTAGATGTTCTAGCTTCGTGCGAAGCCTCCACAGGGCATGGGGAGCCTTCATCTCCGTGTTCTGCGGAGGCTTCTGGGGCAGCTTGTGAAGCCTCCGCAGGGCAGTGGGGTGCCTTCATCCCGCTGCCCTGCGGAGGCTTTGTGCAGCTAAGCCAGAAGCTAGAACAGCGAGAGGGAGCGCTGCGCAGCACTCCCTCTTCCTGTTCTTGCTTCTGGCTTAGCTGCGCAGCCTGCATTCGCTCCATAAGACGCAGACACATTTCCCCTTACTTTTTAGGAGGGAAAAAGTGTGTCTTATAGAGCAAAAAAAATATGGTAACTCAACAGCTTTTATAGGGGTCAGGAGGGTTGCACCTGTCCCACCCTGGCCTCCATTATCCTCCCAACAGATAAAAATGGAGAGACATTTTAGCATCATTATCCTCATTCCAACAATGGCAGCTTGTGCTAAATTCCTTTCTTTGGCAATTGCCTCCCCCAGCCCAGACTTAGCTTGGTGGTCACGTTTAGTTGTGTGACGATTGCAGGAAAGATGAACCTAAACCTCAGTCAGAGATTTGATTCTGAGAGCAGCGGTGGGGACCCCTAGGCCCTGGCAATGAATGTGGCCCTCCAGTCCTTTTTCTCCGGCCCTCTGATGTCTCCCCTTATGGCATTTCCTTGAGTCCTTTGGCCTGGCTGGAATGTGTCCTTGGGGCTTGATGACACCTTTTGCCTGCCTTTGCATGACTGGCATGTAGCCTACTGAGCAATGGTAAGAAACGAGCCATTGCTCCACCCACATTTGCCTCTGGCCCTGCCCTCCTAGAAGGTTCCCCACGGGGCAATGGAGTCCTTGAACTGACAAAGATTCCCAGGCCTGTGGGGAGGGAGCTGAATTTGATAAGGCTGGCAATGCCATATTTGTTAAGGCTGGTGACTCGGTATAAGGCAGCTCACTTTGATCCTAAATACCACTCACAAAAAGGCCAAAAAAAGGGGACAATGACTTCCTAGAGCAGGGGTCAGCAAACTTTTTCAGCAGGGGGGCGGTCCACTGTCCCTCAGACCTTGTGGGGGGCTGGACTAGATTTGGGGGGGGCTGGGAATGAACGAATTCCTATGCCCCACAAATAAGCCAGAGATACATTTTAAATAAAAGGACACATTCTACTCATATAAAAACACGCTGATTCCCGGACTATCTGTGGGCCAGATTTAGAAGGTGATTGGGCCAGATCCGGCCCCTGGGCCTTAGTTTGCCTACCCATGTCCTAAAGCAGCCTTTCTCAACCTGTGGGTCCCCAGATGTTGTTGAACTACAACTCCCATCACCCCTAGCTAGCAAGGCCAGAGCTCAGGGATGATGGGAGTTGCAGCCCAACAACATCTGGGGATCCACAGGTTGAGAACTGCTGTCCTAGAGTGAGCTGAACAGGAACAGCTGGAGCAAGTGACTTCCATGGATGGAAGGTGGGGGTGAGCTCAGCCGGGGCACCCTGGGCCAGCTGCCCTTTTGAGCCAATGGCCAAGCATACTGGGGCAAGCAGGACTAGCCTGAAGAGCCAAGGTGGGCCCAGCACAGCAACAGTATTTGTGCAAATGTTTGCCCCCCCCCGCAATTCTTACATCTGTTATTGCCGAATCTGCAAACTCATCCTCTGCGTTCGCTTGATAGTTAGCAACAGCAGCCAATTTCTCCCAAATCCGTTTTCGAGGGATTTCAGATGCTTCCTGTTAATGAGGGAAGAAGAGAAGGAAATAAGATCCAAAGAGATGCAGCATGTGTCATTGCGGGAGACAAACACGAGAGCGACCATGGGAAAGTGGCTGTAGGTCCATGGCAGAGCACCTGTGTTGCATGCAGAAGGTCACAGGTTCACTCAGAAGAGCTGCTGCCAGTCAGTGTCAACAGTATTGAGATAGATGAGCCAAGTTCATCTTCCTACTGTCCACAGTGGGGAGGGCAGCCATTTCCCCTCTAACTGGAGGGTCCTGGTTCTGGAGGCTTCCACTTTCCTAAGAAACACAAAACTTCCCCCTCTTCCTTTTCCAAGGCTCTGAGTGGCTTGTCTCCTGCACTCTGCGGTCAACTCAGTCTCCATTCAGCCTTCCTCCTTTTTCTACCCTGGCCAGGCTGGGTTGGGCAATTATTTCAGTGCGACTCCAAATAGCCACAGATCAAATCTGAAAATGGCATTGGAGATGGCTAGGCTAGAGAACCTGTAACTGATGGCTCCCTCGCGAAAAACATCTATGCAGGGTCTAGCTCTATACTCCTGCAACTGTGTCGTTAGCCCATCCCCACGGCCCCAATCCTATTCAGGGCCAACCCACCTGAACAAGCAACCCAAGCAATGTGTTTAGTTGCCAGTGGAAGCAGCTACTCCCAGGGTAATCAATGTGGAGCATTCCAGATGTTGTTGGTGTGCAATTCCCATCATCCCTGATCATGCTGGCTGGGGTTGATGGAAAATGGAGCCTAGCAGCATACGGAGGGCACCCACGCCAGTTACCCTGGTTTAATGTGAGGAGACGTCCAACAGCCTCTATTAACTGAGATTGCTAAATGGAACCTCCATGTTCAGTGGTATGCCAGGAAGTGACTTTTTGCGCTGCTTAGGGGCATAGAAAACTGCCTTACACCAGGTCAGATCCTTGGTCCGTCAAGCTCAGAATCATCTACACCAGGAACAGGGAGCCTCACAGCAGCTGTAGGTCTTCTCCAGCTCCCACTAGCCCCAGTCAGCATGGTCAGGGGGATGATGGGAGTTGGAGTCCAGCAGCATCCGGAAGGCCACTGGCTCCCTCTCCCTGATGAACACTGATTGGTAGTGCTTCAGGTGGGGTTTCAGATAGGAATTCTCCCAAGGTCTATCTGGAAATGCCAATAATAGAGCATGGGCCCTTCTGTACATAATGCTGAAAGGGAGGGATGTAGCCTAGTGGGAAAGTATCTGCTTTGCATGCAGAAAGATCCGGGTTCAATCCCCAGGTTGGGCATGGAGAGCTCTCTGTCTGAAATCCTGGAGAGCTGCTGCCAGTCAGTGTGGGAACTACTGAGCCAGATGGACCCAAAGGTCTGACTCAGTATACGGCACACTTCCTATGTCCTGCACCTGATACGGGTCCCTTTCCTATATTCTGCTTCTAAAGCTCCCAGAAGCATCTCTTTGCCTACTCTGGGAATTTGGGTGCTGGATTACCCTGGACTGTTTCTGTAAGGAAGTTCTAGTGTCCATATGTCTAAGGCCAGCCATCTTTCCCTCCCCCAGTGGACTCTGGGATAGCACCTTTCATGGGCCATGCAAGAATTGCTTCCTCCTTGCTCACCTGCCCAGTGATGCTATCTGCTTCTGGAGGGGTTGGCAGTGATAGGCACTATTAGATGTGGGGCAGGGCCTATCCGTCCAATGGCAGAATCCAGCCCTTGATGAATGGCCCAATTGCACCAGCTGCTTTGGACTGTGCTCATTAAGCTATAGTTTTGTTCTTTGGGTTTTTATTTTATTTAATGATCCTCTTGTCATTAGAAGGTTGGTTGTTCTCCTGGGTATTTAAACTGTTTTAACTACTTGTGTATATATCTCTGCTTTGTCAGCTATAATGGCAATTGTGGGGTGTGTGTGAGACTGATCCCTCTTAAATCTTTTTTTATAAAAATGCTGTAACTCTAGCTATAAAAATAAATTCAATAAGAGTTCGGTGTCGATTCTTTCTGTCCAGGAGAAAGGCAATTCTGGCTCCCTCTGTTCCTTATTTGTAATTCCTCAAATAGTGCAGACTCTAGATGGGACTGGATGGTGTGATCTGGGTGCTGCTTTCAGGGTACAGGGCTATATTCAGGCTGCCTCTGCACCTCTCAAGTGATTAAAGAGCCAGGGCCTAAGAATAAGGAGCTGAGAACGGCAACTGAGTTTCTGCCATCCCTACAGGCCAGGCCTCCGATCTGCTGTTCTTTCAACTTCAGAGCGGCACCTGGCCTTGGAACTGGGCTAATCTTGCTGCGGTTTATTTCTGGGTACTTTTGCGCTGGTACACCGGAAGGTAGGGCAGGGAATGATTAACATCAAAATGAGGAGGGAAAGTCTCTTTTGTGCTCCCAGTTGCAGGCTGTCCAAAGTCAGCAGCAGCAGCAGTGCCATAGGCAGCAGCAGGGTAGAAAGGAAATTCACTCTTCCTTTCATCTGTTTGCACTTCTGGGCTCTGATCTCCAGGTGACAACCATTGCAAAAAGGGACAAGCACTGTTGCTGCCTTCATATCCTGCGTGTGGGCATCCCACAATGGGCATCTGATTGCCCACTGTGAGAACACGATGCTGAACTAGATGGGTCCCCTTTGGATTGATCCAGCTGCAGCCGGGCTCTTTTGATGTCCTTATGTCCCCACAAGTAGAGGGGGAGGGGAATATGCCTCCCATAGTAAGCTCAAGAGGTCTGAATTTCAGTAGGACACGAAGGCAGAAACTCTGAAGCATGGGCAGTGCCACACTATCTTCCATGGTTGCTAGATTTAGAAGCCCCTCTAAGAGGGGAGGGAGAATCAGGGCAGTTTCCTGATGTTGTCTCGAAGGCCTTTCTCCTCTGTATGCAGTACAAGGCAAACAAGGCAGACAAACACAGATGTACCTTTGACTTTTCAAACAGAGCCAGGGCTTGTTTGTAGTAACGGATGGCTGGACCAAAGTGGCCCTGGCAGAGGTGAGTCATGCCCAGCTGTTCACAGGCCTGCGCCTCACCATAGGAGTCACCTGGAGGAAGAAACACAGCCAAAAGTTGCAGGACAGGGGCCAGGAAGTCCAGGATGGAATGAGGAGGAGCGTAGGGTCAATGGCTTGTAGTTTCTTGCCTGGAATTGGGGACACTTTGATCTGCAACTAGCTCAGGTCTTTGGCTGGCATATGAGCTGAGCTACTTTTCAAAGTGAAACAGTGTCAGTCTGCCCAGTTACAAGCGGGAATATACAAAACTACTCCTTTTTTAGTTTCACCTCCTTGTCAGGCGGCAGGCATTGTAGGTTTCTGGAGACATCAGTGCAAAAACAAGGTTTGCAGTGGTGAGTTGCTGGAAGTTCTTAATAGCCCATTGCTCCACATTTAAGAGGACTTTCAATTACCATTTGTATAAAACAGGTTTTATTGTTCCATTTGCATTTTGCAAGCAGAAATAAGGCAGCTGGCCCCCAGAGGCCTTCAAGGGAGAGTGAGAGTTCCTTCTTCCCCCCTGGCCGTGTAAATTCAGACGCATTTTGCACTCCAAAACATTCCTTCACTCACACTCCAAAATGTCTCAACAACACTAACAGCTGCATCTTATATACTTACAGAGAACTCATTGCCTGTGTGTGGATTCTTGTGTAGCCAAAGCAGCAGTACCCAAGCCAGAGAGGGAGGAGGAGATACTAGCAGGCATGGAACGAATGACAAGGTGTGCAGAAGTACAAAAAGGCTTTTGGGGCGCAGGGGACTAACAGCTCAATGAACAATACCCACAGAACAGGTCAATTGGGGGCCCAGGAGGATGGAAAACCAGGGAGAAGGCAAAATGGAATACTGCAGAGCATTCTGAAAACAGGCTAGATGGCATGCATGGAACACTGCAACATTTTGCCGTTGGTCCCACCTGCCTGTTCTGTCTCTCAAATTGCTTAGTATGAGCTCTCCTGGAGGTTAACGTGACTCTGTCCCAAACCCACTTGTAGTTCACGATCTTAGCCTGGAGCCTGCAGTGTCAGGGCTGGAGTCAGCAATGAAGGAAGCAGATCTCCGTTGTCAGCAAAGTTAACTCTTTATTCAAGGAAACGGACCTACAACTCAGCCTAGTGGTCCCAGCAACACTCTCCAGTAGGTCTTGCCCCTGTGGAGCAGTGGTCAGGACTGCAGGTCCCTGCCAGCCATCCTCTCTAAGCCTCCTCCTCTCCTGGGTGTTTCCCAAGCAGCCTAAAACTGCGTCTGTGCACCTCTGCTCTCTGGTCTGCTCTTCTCATTACTCTGCGCATTCTTGGGAGACCTCAGAGTCTGAACTGCTCCCTTAAGCCTGTTGCCCCTTCAGCACTGGGCACCTCCTCCTAATCTTCTCTCTATGGGTCTCCCAGCTGCTAGTCTGGCCCTCAAATGACCACACCACCACTGGCTCTCTGCTTTGCATACAGAAGGACCCCAGCCTACTCTCCATGCTAGCTAATACAGTAGGATCAGAAGGTGTTCCTAGAGAGCTCCTGCCAATCAGAGCGGACCTGACTTCCCCAACTGGGCACTCTGCACATCTTTTGGTCGGCAACTCCCATCACCCCTGACTCAGGCTGGGGCCAAGGGGAGTTATCATCCAGTCATTGGGAGAGCACCTGGTTGGAGTTGGCTGGAGTGGGTCATACTGGACAAGAGGCGCCAAAGGACTGACCTGATACAGTGGTACCTCGGGTTAAGAACTTAATTTGTTCTGGAGGTCCATTCTTAACCTGAAACTGTTCTTAACCTGAGGTACCACTTTAGCTAATGGGGCCTCTGTTCTCATCCTGAAGCAAAGTTCTTAACCCGAGGTACTATTTCTGGGTTAGCGGAGTCTGTAATCTGAAGTGTCTGTAACCTGAAGCATCTGTAACCTGACGTACCACTGTATATAAGGTGGGCTTCACCACAGTTGCTTACCTGCCTCCACAAAAGCTTTCAGCGCCTGCTGGGAGTAAAATCCGGCCATGTCGTAGTTTTTCAGCTGGCCGTGAGCAGTGGCCAAATTGTAGTGGCATTGAGCATGAGCAGCCCTCTCTCCCAGTGCCCCTGGCAAAAAACAAAGGGGGGGGGATCCAGCACGGATGATGTCAGCAGCTTGGCAAATGGGTCCAGCCCCTTCCCAGAACTCTAGAAACTTTCCCCCAAAAGGATATTGTTCTGAAAACATCCCTAGCAGAGGACATTTTAGCCTTATGCAATCCTGTAGGGTGAGAGCGAATCTGCCACAGGGGCAGTGAGGGCTCCTGAGTCCTGCAGGCTTGGAATTCTGCATCAGAGTGACCAAAATTATGCAACAATGAAAGCTACGGTCTGCAATCTGCATATATTATACAAATCACCATACTGTCTCTTATTTGACTGTTTTGCTGAGAATTGAGGCAAAGAGATCTACATGCTTCACTGGAAGTCTTATACAGCCATCTGCTCTGGCTCCTGACATTTCAGATAGGGTAAAGAAGTGGAAAGGGAACGAATTTGCGGGGGGGGGGGGGCGGGTCATGATTGAGGCTCATGGCTGATCCCCACTAACCTTTTGCCCCGCTGCTTCCAGACATAGGTCTGCACTTTAAAGCTCCAGGTCTGAGTGCTCTTTTTTGCCCCAGAGCTTTCCCCACCAAAACCCACTCTTTAAAGCTGAAGTGCAACAAGCAGCAAGTTTGCTTGCCCCCAATATTCTGAGGTAGACTGCCTCTGAACCTGAAGGTGCCATTTACCTGTTGCGGCTTACACAGGCACAGAGAGGGTGGAGAAGGGAGGAGGAGCTTAGGGTGGCTGGAAGTGGTTTAGTAGGGTGCAGAAACCCTGCAGTTTGGAGGGCAGCACTTGGTGGAGGAGGAGAATCTCAGGGAGCCAGTGGTGGGACTGAGTGCTGTCTTCCAGAGGCCTTGAAGAGTGTGGCTGCCAGCCAGCGGAGGTGATCTGGGGCTAGGTGGGCTGTGGGATTAATTTAGCCTAAGGAGGCAGCCTGGCAGAAATAAGGACTTTTTTTTGTCACTCAACCAGTGCTTGCTTTATGGCAGTGGTGGCCAAACTTGGCCCTCCAGCTGTTTTTGGACTACAACTCCGATCATCCCTAGCTAACAGGACTAGTGGTCAGGGATGATGGGAATTGTAGTCCCAAAACAGCTGGAGGGCCAAGTTTGGCCACCACTGCTTTTATGGCGTCTCCCAAGCTCCACCCCTTCCCGTCTCTCTCCTGCAAGAGGCAGCCATGAGAAACTGGTTCCCACCACGTGAGCTTAGAATCTGAAGCCCTCCTTGCAAATAGGACAGAACGGAAAGTGAAGAACATCCCCCCCCCTTTACCAAGGAGCCCTGGGTAGCCTCCCATGGCTCTTTCCAGCAGAAAGAGGCACAATGAGTGGTGAGGTGGTGGGACCAGGTACTTCCAGCTTCTAAGTCTTTCAAATCTCTGCAAAGCCGCTTAGCCAATGCATACCCCAGCCTAGAAACTCGAGGAGGACATATTTTCAAATAGGGATTGTAACATTCTAGGTAAGAAGAAGTGGAAATGAATTGAACAAGCACAGCACCCCACAGATGAGACCAGTGACCCACAAGCTTTGTTAGCTGACAGACAGAGGCCCAACTGGCAAACAAAGCTGAGGAGAAATTAACAGACAATGACATGCAAAGATATGTGAACAAAATAAAGATTGCAATTAATTATTTGATGTGATCAAAACAACCAAATATTACAAAAGTTTGTATTAAGAAGTAGGTATTTTGTTTATCTTTAACAGTAATATGAATAGGGACAATAATTTAAGTTTTTTGTTTATGTCACATCATTCTCTATGTATTGGTACAGCAATGTGTTTTTAAGACTTGAATAAATTGGCTTAAAAAAACCTAACCCAATGCAACTCACCGTACATGTCAGCTGCTTCGCTGTGGTACCGCAGGGCCCTTTCGAAGCACTCCAGAGCGTTGCAGGCAGCCCCCAGGTTCTGCAACAGGACAGCTTTCTTCCGCACCGAAAAGCCTTTCCCGCTGCAAAGGCGGAGAGCTGCTTCAAAGTGCTGCTCTGCCTGCTGGAAGCACCTCATTTCCGCATAGTGCAGCCCCAGGTGATTGCAGAGTTTGCCTGAGAGCCAAAGTGGTGGGAGAAAACCCACCATTAGCTGGAGCTTGGGATCTTTCCAACTGATCAAGCAGGACCTTGTAGGCATTGCACAGTTGAAGGGAGCAAGACTCAGAGGAAATGTGTTCCCCAAAGATTGGGTCTTTCCACTGGGATGGAGCATCCCCCTCGCCCCTAGACGTAAAGGGCCCCTGGGTGTAGAGAAGGCTCAGAGGATGCCCCTCCCACTCAAAAAGTGGCAAAGCCCCCATCCCTACTTGAAACAGGCCATCTTCAGTTACCGTATTTTTCACTCCATAAGATGCATGTTTTCCCTCCTAAAAATTAAGGGGAAATGTGTGTGCATCTTATGGAGTGAATGCAGGCAGGAGGCTCTGCTCAGCGCTCCCTTTAAAGAGCCGCATGGAGTGTGTGTGCGGCCCTTGGGGGCTTTTCCCTGAGGAGGGAGAATGGCAGCATGTCAGTGATGGGCTGCCCTTCTCCCTCCTCGGGGAAAAGCCTGCAAGTGCTGCACACACGCTCCACACGTTTTGTGAAAGGGAGCGCTGAGCAGAGCCTGGGATGCATACAGGCTCTGCTCAGCGCTCCCTTTAAAGAATTTTTTTTTTCAGGCATTCCCCCTCTAAAAACTAGGTGCATCTTATGGAGCGAAAAATACAGCACTTAAAAGAACCTTCAGCTTCCTCTTCTTGCAGAAGTACTCTCAGCATTGTGGCATCAGTGTGAGTTCCAGCTATGACTGGAACATAGGAGTCAACTCCTAGGGGCCAAGGCCCCTTCACACCCCAATAAAACATTTGAGAGGGCATGCCCCCCAAAAGTTGATGGGACATTGCCATTCAAAAGGGGTGTGTGAGTTGCATCTTGTGAGGGGCTTACCTGGGCCACCCTAATATTTTATTCATGTTGGCACCCCTATTGGAGAATGAGAGGCAATTAGAGTAGCATCCTGCTAGGCCAGGCTTTCCCAACCAAGTGCCCTCCAAATGTTTTGGACCACAACTTCCATTTGCCCCCAGCCAGACCAGCCGGGGTCCAATCAGCCCTAGCTGTGCAGGCCGGGGTTGATGGGAGTTGTGGCCCAAAACATCTAGAGGGCACCAGGTTGGGGAAGTCAAGTCAAGGTTTTCCTTGCAGTGCACAGGAAGAGACAGGAAGGGCCACTCCATCCTCTCTGCTGCAAGACCAGCTCCACCAGGACCTTCCTCTCCCTGTTCCCATTCAAGTTGGTCATTAGAAGAACTACCCCTCCTTCCCTCAACACAGCCAGGTATATAATATAACTGCAACTCAGGATAACACTTCATGCATCTGCAGAGGTGGGCTGTAATTCACAAAAGCTCATGCCATAATAAATTTGTTAGTTTTTAAGGTACCACAAGGCTCTTTGTTGTTTTTGCTGCTAGAGACTAACCCAAAGGATACCCCTCTGGAAAATACGTAGCTTTTGTAATTGGTGCCAATTTGCCTGTTTTCCTCTCCCCCCCCCTTTCCCTTTGTGATGTTCCCATTGTAAACATGTGAACAGGGACAATCTTGCTTTTAATGATCATACGTAAGTTGCCCTTGGAGGCTTTCTAGCTGAAGAATGTGTTAGTACATCTGTCTCACACACACTGTCCCTGAGCATGAGATTTCTTCTTCCACTTCATCTTAATACTGGTCTATCAAAAAGCCTGTGTTTGGGAATCCCCATTCCTGCTGAGATCAAGGGTGGGAACTGGGTCCCAAAGGCAGAGTAGCTCATCTGGCTAGAGGGCACTCTGGCAGCCCCCTGAGATTTCTGGGGTGGCAGGATTTTTCCTTAAGGAGACCCAATGGGGACTACGGAGGTACTTAGCTATACCCAGCAGTTCCTGGTTCCTTATCTTGGTGCACAACCGGCTGCAGGCCTGCAAGCTCTCCAAGACGTCGTCTGGGGAGTACACTGGGCTTCGCAGGAAGTAATTTGCTGCCTCCCTCATAGCCATGGCTGTGTCTTCTGGGAGTTGCACTCTTTGGTAGGCCTGGCCGGCCAGGCGAAAAGACTGTGCAGCTGACTCCATGTCACCTGTGCTCACCAGGCAATAGGCCAGCTTGATCAGGGCATCGGCTGAGCTTTGTGTTTGATTTGTGTCGTATTCCTGGATGGCCTTTCCGTAGAACTCTGCGGCTTTTGCGTATTCTCTCATGTCGTCGTAAGCAGCGCCCACGTTGAAGGAGAGGTCGCCATCCTTCTCCTCAGCTCCAAGCTCTTTGGCCTTCAACAGGCACTTGAGGCCCTTCTGGGGCTTGCCGGTGGCAATGTAAGCCGCCCCGAGGTTGAAGAGACACTTGGCTTTGGAGCGAGGCTCTGGGAGGCTACCCGAGAGCATGTATGCCTTTTTGAAGGCAGCCAAAGCCTGGCTTTCCTCATTGCTGCTGAAAAAACATATACCAGCCTTCAACAGCCTTTGCATTTCAGTTTGGACAGAGCCCAGCTGGCTCACAGGCTGGTCTCCAACAGAGCCAGAGATCGGAGGAGCAGAGGCCATCTCTTCCGAAGGGGCAACGGAAGGGGAACTGCAAAAGGAAGCAGAGCATCACAACCATCTGCACTTTGAAGCACAGTTTATCTGCATATTTAGGTTGTTTTTTTAAAAAAATCTAGACTGCTTTTCTTTTCATTTTTGTTGTTAATTTCAAATTCTTTCCCCCCTTCTTTTTTATTAAATATTTTCTTGTTTTACAAAAGTGTTTGCAATGTCTCTCTCGTATTTTTCCCCCATGTAACATTTTTACAAATCAGTTTCATTTGTTGAGACATTGGGGAAAAAAGGGGGAAAGAGGTGGAGGGGGGAAAAGATGGGTGGGGGTGGGGTCAGGCGACGGTGTTTCTATTTTACTTACTATATGCAGGGTTTGGTGTCAGCATTGTTTGTGTAGGTTCTTTGTTGTTCGCTTGTGTTCCTTTGGTGGTGAGAGAGGTTGGGGTTGGCCTAGGGTGTGGTTGTTCATTTGTGGTTGGCTGTGGTAGTCTTTGTTTTCATGTGTGAGTGGGGTGGGTGGGTGTTTTGGATCAGGTTAGCCATATTGATTTGTATGTTGTTGGTGGGTTTTTGTCGTTGTCTTGTTGGGCTGTGTATGTGATAAAGGGGAGCCATACCGGGGTGAAGGTATCTAGATTGCTTTTCAAGGCACAGACCTTGGCTCTAGGTAACCACCTCCCAGTGATGGGTCAAAAAAACAAATGTAAGGGAGACCCATGGCTGGCATCAGTACTGAGCCCTTCCAGGGTGCAAGTTGTCCAAGTAAGCCACCCTTCTCAGAAGATGGAGGTGCCACTTTCCTCTCTTCCTCCATTTGGTCAGGCAAGATGACCTTCACAGTCCCCCCCAGCTTTATTATTTGCCCCACTCCCCTTTTTTATAGCTCCCAAACAAGGGGCCATCATCACTACACCTTGTGGCAGAGAATTCCAAATAACATCAGGATGTTACACAGAGATCTCACCATCTTGTCTAATGTCTCACTTTCCCACTGATCTTGCAGTGAGAATGCATCATGTAGCTATATTTGTATGTTGCCGTTTCAAACGATCTGTGTCAAGAGGTTATAAAATCATAGAGTTGGTAGTGACCCTGAGGATGTCCAACCCACTGCGAGGCAGCAATATGCAGCTGTCTCATATGGTGATCAAACCTGCAACCTTGGCGTTCTCAGTACCAACTGAGCTCTAACCAGCTGAGCTGTCCAGCTGGTGTCTGTGCCTTCCATTTTTCCTACATGCATTTTATTATCCCATACTGTACTTGTTTCTCTTGCCCGCTCCCCACAACGCAGCTTTAAAATGATTTCTAACAGGCAAAAGGGGAGCAGAAAAAGGGTGAGGGGCGCGGAATATTATGAACGAACACGTGTCTTCCATGAGAACATTACTGACAGGTAATGCAAACAAGTCAGCAGAAAGAAAAAAGGAACTTTTCAAGAGAGAGATGCAGATTTTGGTATAATATTAGCTTCAGCTATCCAGGGAGCTCATTAGTTCCTCATTAAATGTTTGCTATAAACATACGTTTTGATTGATAATTATGTAATGAGCTGGAGAGCCTTGTTTCCCATCATCATGCTTTCCAGCTTGCGTGGCTGTTGTGCAAACTAGACTTTGATTAAAAATAGTTAATTGATGGGGGGTGGTCAATAAAGGAAGCAGCACCATTTATGATCTGTGCAGTGGGAATCCTCTCGATTTCCTGGCTCTGGTGGATTATCTTTGGCTGCTTAAATGCCTTTCCAGGGAGCTATTCTGGTCTGTATCTGCATGTGTGTGTGTAAGAGAGAGAGAGGGAGAGAGATTCTGGGAGAGGAGGCAAAATTCTCTGCAAAAGGGGTGGGGGAAAGCAGCATATATCAAGGAGGACGACTTGCAATTCCTTTTGATAACTCAAGATGGCTATTGTGGTCACCATGGCACAGGAATGGGACTCTGAAACCTCAGGGTTGGTGGAAAAGTCCATGGCAGACCATACAGGATGGCCAAGTCTGTCTTGGGGAAGCGGGAGCTGAAAAATAACCGGACGTAGTCTGGAAGGTGTGGGGTGGAGCAGGAGAAAACAAGCTTGCTCCATCTTTCATGTGACAGCCCTTGAGATATTTGAAGATGGCTATCCTATCTCCTCTCAGTCTCCTCTTTTCCAGGCTAAACATACCCAGCTCCAACCATTCCTCATAAGGCTTGGTTTAAAAACCCTTGATCATCTTGGCTGCCTTCCTCTGTACGTGCTCCAGCTTGTCAACATCCTTCTTAAATTGTGGTGCTCAGAATTGGACACAGTATTCCAGGTGTGGTCTGACCAAGGCAGAATAGAGTGGTTTTCTTACTTCCCTTGATCTGGACACTCTACTTCTGTTGATCCAGCCTGGAATAGCGTAAGTTTTTTTTGCTGCTGCATCACACTGTTGACTCGTGTTAAGCTTGTGGCCCACTAAGACCCCTACATCCTTTTCACATGTACTACATGTACATGGCCAGGACATGGTGTGGAGGCTAAAGCCACAGGGATGAAGAGGGAGAGGAGACGGGGAGGTTTCTAGACATTGCCAGCTGCCTGGCTAGCTGCTCTTTTGCCGGGCTTCTCTCCTCCTAGGTAGACCCATGGCAGTCAAATGAGCACTACTCTGGACTTCTGCCGCCTGCACTCCTGAGGCCTGTCAGGGGGAGGGGGACATGGGTGAGGGTGGAGATCAAGGCAGGGCTTGGAATTGGATCAGTGGGGTTCCTGAGGAATCCCTAAAAGGGAGCTCTGAATCCAGTCTGGTTTCTCCAGGTCTTCAGTTGGGAGTGAGATCTGCAGGGCCCTAAGCGAAAGAGGTCTCTCTAGGATCTACGTTGAATGGGATCCTGCTGTAAACACAAAGCAATGGCTTCTCTCTGGGGAAGACCTATGGGGGTGGACCAGGAAAGCTACAGCAAGCAGCACAAGGAGACAAGGCTGGTCCCAACAGCAGCTGGCTGAGGCTGGAACATCTGCCTTCAAGGATACTTCCAGACATGGACAATTTAGCAGTGGCCTGTGGCAAAACGCAACCAAGTAACAGCCTGTAAATTTGGTCATTTTTGAGAGAGAGGGTCTTTCAAAGGGAAAGTGTATGAGATATTTATCTTGGACTGTCAAATAATCTGTCCATTTAAATTAACTTTGACACCTTTATGAGTATTTTTCCTCAACCTCAGTTGACCTGCTGTTGGGTTTAGGTTGTTGCTGCTGCTATGTTTGCTGTGCCCCTGCCCCAATATCTCTATTTTTTGCTTCCCATTAACCTAATCTATTGTTGGGCATCTCTAGTTGAAACATTGCATTATGGGTGGTGTGCCGTACACAGGCCAGGAATCTTGAGGTGCTTTAGTTTGGAATGGCTGACAGGGAAGGAGAACGGGGGGAAAGAGAGAGAGAGGAAAAGCACAATCCTATGGGGTGCGCAGAGCTGCTCATCACTTACCTGTGCAAACTTTTGGAAAGGAAAGTTCTGAATTGTACCAGAGACGGCAACTGCAGGCGAGCCCAGAGGCAAGAAGGAGAAGGGGCAGTTCAGTCTTTCTGCAAAACTGTTAGGGAAATGCTTGTGGAGGCATCAGACAGGCTTAGCAACAATGCCTGGTTGTCATCAACAAACTTACTAAGGCTGTGCACACGTCATTTATTGAAGCCACTCCCCTAAAAAAGAACAATTCTTGGAACTCTAGTTTGTTAAGGGTGCTGGGAATTGCAGCTCTGTAAGGAAGGCCGGCGGTTCGAATCCCCACGATGGAGTGAGCTCCCATTGCTCGGTCCCTGCTCCTGCCAACCTAGCAGTTCAAAAGCACGCCAAAGTGCAAGTAGATAAATAGGTACCACTCCGGCAGGAAGGTAAACGGTGTTTCTGTGTGTTGCTCTCGTTCGCCAGAAGTGGCTTAGTCATGCTGGCCACATGACCCGGAAGCTGTACGCTGGCTCCCTCGGCCAATAAAGCGACATGAGCGCCGCAACCCCAGAGTCGTTCGCGACTGGAGCTAATGGTCGGGGGTCCCTTTACCTTTAAAGAGCAAACTACAGTTCCCAGGGTTCTGTTTGCGCATGTGCGCGCGCACTTTAAACATATGGTGTATATGCAGCCTAAGACTGTGATCCCAGACGCACCTACTTGGCTGCCTCTGTTTAAAACCTGCCTTTCATGCAACTGCAAAGCAGGCCAGCAATCTGAGTACAACCATCATGGCACCACCAGAAAGGGGCTGGCTGGCTTTCCTGGGTTCAACGGTTGGGTTCCTCTGGAGCACGGTGGGCTACTTCCCGCCTACCTGGTGAACATTGAGAAGTTGCAACACTCCTGTGATGGCCTGGGGCTTGGGCTTGGGCTAAGAACCGGAGGAGTCTCAGTCCGCACCGGATCCTCTGCCTCAGGTGGCATCTGAACCGAGTCTGGGGCCTGATCCTGAAGAGTCCCAGTCTGCACAGGTTCCCCTGCAACAAACACAGCTGGGCCGAGTCAGGGGCCTGATCCTGCCCTGGCTCCAGATGCGGGGATTACCTCATTGCCTTCAGCAGGGCCATCACGTGCAGCTGCTCCACTACCAGTTGGGTCAGGAGAGTCTAGTAACCCACCGATGTCTCCCGAGCTGCAGAGATTGAGGTCTGTGAGAAGGAGAGACCTGAGTACACGCAGGAGGAGTGCTCGCCTTTGGGCGAGACAGGGAGGTGAGTCACCGGGGGATCAGGACCAGCCATTACCCTGTCATAGATAAAAGGCTGCCGGACCCTGCCCCAGGTTGCGGGAGCAACATTGCTGCTTGCTGGAACCTGCCTGAGATCCTGTGCCTGACCTAGGCTGGTTTCCTGACTTGGCCCTGTTGGACTGACTCCTCATGGAATCCTTGGATTCGGGACCGGACCTGGACCATGTTGCTCGGGTTAACCCCCGGGCCCAGCACAACTCCCTAGTCCAGGAAGTTACCCTCTTTGCCAAGGTTTAGCCTGGAGAAGAGGAGGTTAAGGGGTGATATGATAGCCATGTTCAAATATATAAAAGGATGTCATATAGAGGAGGGAGAAAGGTTGTTTTCTGCTGCTCCAGAGAAGCGGACACGGAGCAATGGATCCAAACTACAAGAAAGAAGATTCCACCTAAACATTAGGAAGAACTTCCTGACAGTAAGAGCTGTTCGACAGTGGAATTTGCTGCCAAGGAGTGTGGTGGAGTCTCCTTCTTTGGAGGTCTTTAAGCAGAGGCTTGACAACCATGTCAGGAGTGCTCTGATGGTGTTTCCTGCCTGGCAGGGGGTTGGACTCGATGGCCCTTGTGGTCTATTCCAACTCTATGATTCTATGGTTTGGAGGCCCTAGATTGTTCTGTGTTCCAGTTGTGTGGTATCATGGGTGGAGAGCCAGGGCAGGGTCAGAGGGAGCTGAGCTCAAATTCCTTCTCAGCCATGGAAGTTCATGTGGGCGACCTGGTTGGCTCAGCCATACTTTCTCAACCTAGCTTATCTTGAAGGGTGGTTGTGAGGATAAAATAGTGAATCATGGACACTTGTCTTGCTTGACCTTATGCTCTCCAGATTCTGCTGGGCAATAACTTCCACCACCTGCCTGACCGCTGGCCAGGATGCCTGGGGCTGAGAGGGGTTGGGAGTCGAACAACATCTGGAGAGCATCAGTTTGGGGAAGACTGATGTATGCAGTTCTGGCCTTTCTGAAGGAAAAGTGGGAAGACAAATGTAACGAGTTATTAAAAAAACGAAACAGATGGCCAACCATAAATCTGAACTCTAAAGATGCAACGAACCTGAATTGGCTACCAATTTGCAACCAGGCCGGTCTCATGGTTCTTGTTTAGATTCTTGTGTTGGTTCACAAAGTTCTAAGCAACTTGGGCCCAAAGTCCACCTGATTCCTTATGCTCTGATCTTCTGATGGGGCGCTTTTGGTGGTCCAACCTGGCCCTGAGGTTCCACCTGGCCTTTATGAGGCGCTGAGCCTGGCCCTGTGCCAAGAGAGGTTCGGCAGGAGCCCATTCTCTGCTTGCTTTGAGTCAGCTTCTGAACAGGGGCGTAGCGCTGCTTGCTGGTGCCTGGGGCAGGTGAGCACAGTTGCCCAGCTCTTGCCGCCAGGTGGGTTCTCTCTTCACCCTCTGCTCTCACCAAGCCCCCGCTGCTGGAGTCAGGCAGGGCACAGGGATCTCTGTGGGGCTGGGGCGCCCAGTTTGTGCCCCCGATTCTGCACCTGGAGCCATGCCCCCCTAACACTACACCGCTGCTTCTAAAAACTGTATTACCCAGGCAGGCCTTTCGAACCTGCGATGGTCTTCCAACCGGCTCTTTGATTTTTCTGTTGTAACGCTGTGTTTTTAATCTGTATGCTGCCTTGTGATATAGGAAAGTGTGGCTTATAAATATTTCAGCAGCTCTTGGCCTCCTACACAGGCCAATTTTGCTTTTTGATCTCATTAGCTGCACTGTTGTAGTAGTGGAGAGACACCCCTATTACATGCACAGTGACCATCCTGGCATGCTGCTGAGGGGGAGTTCTGCCACACACACACACACACACACACACACACACACAGCTTGTTTTGCCCCAGATAAACTTTTGAGTTACCAGAAGACCAAAAAAAAAATCACTTTATTTGTGGTCATTATCAGTGTATATATAAAAATCAGAGAAGGCTCTCTACTCTCTTTCCACTGCTGGAAACCAGGAGAGAGGGCGGGGGGGGGAGAGGGAGAGGGAGAGCGCACTTCTGCCACCAAAGTCTAAGGCCCAAGCACCTCCTGCCCATCCTGTGGTGGAGAAATATTTGCTGGTTGCTGGTTGGGTCCTGCAAAGAGTTTTGGAACCTCTTAAGTAGGTATAAATACTTTCCGTTGAAAGGCTAGTCCTTGGGTGACATGCCAGGGAAAAGAGGCAAGAGTGAGTAGGAGAAAATATGGCACATTGCGGAATTTAGCATTACTGAAAGACGCAGAGGTGCTGTTGGTGTTGTTTGGTGATGGACTCCTCCCCACATTTACCATTAATAAACATGGGGCACAGTCTGCTGGGAAGTTGTTACTGTAGGTGTTAGTGGAACTTGTGTAGGAAGGAGAGTGTCCAGGTGGATTGGGCCCTGTGGGTCAGACCTGCCTGTCTCCTGCACAGCATGTTTAAAAGTCCTCTGTGCACAGGGCGCCCTGTCCAATGTGTTCCTCCCACTCTTTTGTGCAGAGATGGCTAAAGTGTAGCCTTCTTTCCCTGATGTTGTCAGACTACAACTCCCATCACTCTTGAACATTAGCTATGCCTTGGGCTGAGGCTGATGGGAGCTGGGAGTCTAGCAACATCTGGAGGGCCATGGGGGGGGGGTCACCCCTGCATTGGAGTTGCTGCTTTGGCCTTTGAGCCTAACAACCACTTCGTTTGAGCCTAACAACCAGCCTAAATGCCCACTTCATTCCAAAACGGCTGAATTGCTTGATTAAACTGTTACAGGTGGAAGATGTGGGTGGAATGAGAGGGGTACATTTGTAAAATGTTTTTTCCCCTCCAGAGCATTTGCCCCCAAAGGTGCGGGTGCATAAAATCAGAAAAAGTGTATTTCGTGGATGGATACTGATGAACAGATGTCATAGGAACAGCAAAGTTATGATTAGTGATGCGTGTATTTAAACACACGACAGTGAAATTAGATGGGGCTGGAGACGCAAACCAAGAAACACAGGAAGGGAAGTACAGGGAACTCTTCTAGTTTAGGAAGATCCCATTAAGATTAAGATATCTGGCACGGGAAGTAAATCTGAGCACTTGGAAATGCCTGGAATAAAGCCTTTGGTGTCCCAAACTTTAGTGTCCCAAAAAGTTAGAGACTGACAATTTTAAATTTGGTTTTTCCACTATTCAGTTTTCCACATCCATATATATATTTATATCTCTCCACAAAGATTGCCAGGATTTTAATGTACATTTCTTCTAAAATACACATTTTTGCATCCAATTTGCCTAATTTTAAAAAATATTTCCTCCCAATAGAATGCATTTTGTATATTTTCACATAATTGCATTTTTATACACATAGTGTGTGTGTGTGTATATATGTGTGTTTACTCTTTTGGTTGAAGGATTGCCTAACAAAAGTTAAAAAAGTTCTTTTCCATATATTTTGAGAAAGTGTATAAGAAAGCATATATTAGTGAAAACAATATGCAAAAATGCAAAAATACATTCTATTAGGGGAAATGGGATCCAGAAGCCAGCCAGGAGCCTCTGGCGAAACTGGCAAATATGGCAGGAAGGGAATGAGTCTTTCCTATTGTTTGTTCCCAGCATTCAATTATGTAGAGGTAGACTGCCCTTGAACATGGAGTCCCCCCATCAGCCTTCATAAGCATTGTTATACTTATCTGCCATCATTGGTCTAATCTTCCATGAAAACCATCTGAGTTAATTGCTGTTTGATAGCTGTGCTGTTAATGCCTTTAAAACACAGCCAGCCCAGCCTCATTTAAGGTTATCTCATTCAAGGGTGTATTTTCTTTTAAAAAAAACCTCCACCCTGTAAAATATAGCCTTTTTCAACAGATGCTTTTGGCAGTAATGCGTCTCTGCTAGTGGCACCACGGAACAATTAACAGCCTGTTGACATGAACCTCACTCATTAGTGGTTAATTAGGCGACATTATTTAAATTGCATAGGTTGCATTAGCAGGTCAGGTGACTGCTCCCCCTTTTAGATTCGTGGGTGGGGGTGGGAACTGGACCTCTGCTGCGCAGAGAGGATGGCAAACATCCTTCCCTAGGCGATGCAGCCATCTCCCGGTTCGGTTCCCTTTCCACCTGTCCTGCAATGCGAAGGAGAGGGAGGTTCAGCTGCCTGGCCCAACTCGCAAGACCCTCTTTTTTCCACGTGGCCCACCTGGCAAGGGCTGCTCTAGGGGGGCATGTCCATTTTTAAATGGAAGTGTGGAGTGACTTCTCTTCCTCCATGTTTGTGAGGGTGTATTTCTCATGTTCTGTGCTGCGCTGGGGTGGCTCCTGAGGGGCGTGGTGAAGTTCAATGAAGAGCATGTAGATAGCAGTTCCGATAGCGGCCCCAACCATCGGCCCGACGATAGGGACCCACCAAAAGTGGTGGCCAGCCCTGGGGGAAGAGAGAGAGAGAGAGATTAACATTCCAGTGTTTTCAGTGCCTACATTTTTGTAGACCTGATTTGTGGTGGCTCCCCACTTCCACTGTCAACTGCCTCTCCAGTGTGGTGAGACAATGTGGTACTGAAGCTTTGAATGGGCCACTGTGCTTTCAGTTAAAAGCTTCCTATCCGTGGGAAAAGCTGCCTCTGGTAAAGCCTCTCCTGGTATGTCCCACGGAGGACCTTACGGTCTTCAAACAAAAACATCTTGTAGGTCCCAGGCCACAGGGAGGTTAGGCTGGCCTCAACCAGAGCCAGGGCTTTTTCGGCCGTGGCCCCGATCTGGTGGAACGCTCTGTCACAAGAGAGTAGGGCCCTGCAGGAGCAGAGCCAGTAAATGGATCTCCAAGGGACCCAGCTCGGCTACTGCCACGCTTTGGGTGCAGTTTGTGGGGGCTGGTTTGGCAACAGGCAGCGCTTGTTTTGAGGGGCACCCTGTTCTGTTTGAAGGCTACCATTGCTGATAAGAGCAGGAGGGGTGGGAACCCCTTTGATGTGGCACCTTGTAGCTGAAGCACTGCAATTTCTTACATTTTCAGGACCAGGCCTGACAGCCTGCAGACAAAACCTCTTGAATTGGAAGTTTATCCTCATTTTGAAATGGAACAGAAATCACGTCACAGTGTGATGATGCTAGCAGGGATGGAATTGGGTAATACGGTACCCTGAGCGAGGACAAAATCTGCACCCCCCCCAATACTTCTTATTTTCACAATAATTCCTTTTGGTAGTTGCTTATTATTATTGCATTGCACACACTTGGCTCAGCACCCGGGGGGGGGGGAGGGAACCACCCACACTTCCCTAAATCTGGCACTGATGCCAGCCACACCGGAAGCTGCAGGAACGACAGCACCAGGAGCACTGCTGGAAAGAAACTCATACAGTACTGTATTCTTATTAGAGTCTCCCAAGAACAATTGACTGTTTCCTCTGCTCCGATTAGAAAGAGATGCTTGTGTGTGTCCACTAGAGGTCACCCTTGCAACACGATGGAGGCGAAGGCAGAGGCATCTTCTCCATCACCCTGAATTCCTCCACCTTCCTCTGTCTTTTCTGAGCCAGGGCACTCAGGGAATGTGCCTCTTATTTCAGTGAGCTTCTTAGAACTGCTCCTGCTTCCACAGCCAGGTGAAAGAGCTTCTAAACCCCTGCCCCAGGTTCAGATCTCAGTCTCTTCAGGTAAAAAGGAGCAGGTTAGGGAAACACGACAGCCAGGTAACATACAACGGTGTTTTCACATGGAAGTTCCTGGGGAAGGGACCCCCACTGAACTGCTGCTGCTGGTGCTGCACCTCAGACAGAACAAGCCAGAGTCCGGCTTCTGGTATTCTGTAAACCTGGACTCCAGCACAAGCCAAGAACAAACCTTGGAAATTGCTCAGGGTTTGTTTGGAATGAAGCCAATTCAAAAGACAAGACGGACCCTCTTGAGAAGTGTGCACCACCATGCTGGTCTTTCACATTAAACCATAGTTTGTTTTACATTATGGTTTAATGTGACATTAAAACTGGGCCATAATAATAATAATAATAATAATAATAATAATAGTTTTATTTATACCCTGCCCTTCAAAAACCAGGCTCAAGGCAGCTAACAACAAATTCTAAAATGCTAAAGTATAAAAACAGCATAAAAGACAATATAAAAACATGAATAACAATAAAATTCAAAAATCAATTAGATAATCCCCAGGGCTAGCTGGCTGAATTGGTCCTACTTGGGCCAGCGAGGAGGCCAGGGGAGAATGAGCTGTGGGGTCTCAGAGTGGGTGATCTTCATAAAAGGGGAGGGGGAAGGAGGAAAAGGGAAATAAAAGATCAGGCTGAATTCAAATTAAAGGCCAGGCAGAATAAGACAGCTTCAGATAGATAGATATAGTAGATATCCATATGTTGGTATCTATGGGGCAGAGTGGTGGTTCTGCCCATCTCTGCTTTTGTTGGCAGGGTGAGGAGCTACTTCAGAGTAGCGGCCAAGAGACTGAGCTATGAGTCGGAATCTCACCCCTTGCCATGAACACAGATCTCATGAAGTGACTTTAAACTAGTCACTCTGCCTCCGACTGAGGGTAATAATGATGATTTGCAGGATCGCTCTAAGGATTACAGCAAGGTAATTCACGTGCAAACAATGATAAGAATATAAGACAACCTGCTGGATCAGGCCAGTATCCTGTGGTCACAGTGGTTGACCAGATGACCGTGGGAAGCTTGCTGGCCAGATATGAGGAAAACATCCACCCTCCTCACAGACCCCACCTATGAGCAAATCCATCCTAGCTTTTAAATGGTTCCACAAATGCAGTTTATCCTTCTGCCAAGGCGAGCGGACTTACGTGAAGACTTCAGGCCCCCATCCAGCAAAGTAGGTGAAGAGGCGTGGGGACAGGTCTCTGGCAGGGTTCATGGCACAGCCACTGTTCCTGGCCATGGAAGACGTCAGCAGTATGATGACCAGGCCAATGGCAATGGGCTCCAGCCCCTTCGGCACAGGAAGGTTGCACGGGTCAAAAACGGCAAAAACACCCAGGAGAAGGATGGCTGTCGACATCACCTGGTCAGTGAAAAGCAGGTGGATTCAGCTCAGGAGGTAGGACCAGCCCAAGACATTTGGGTACCAGAAAAGGGTGCCTCCCCCACCCTGGCCAGGGAAGAAGGGGTGAGTGAAGATCTACAACAGGAACGAGGGGCCGGGGGGGGGGAATTGACATTGGGATCTGCTGCCCCTGTGGATCCTGCCACCTGAAGCAGTCGCTTCACAGATTGGCTGGCCCTGGATGAAGATTTACATCTGGATCCATTGTCTCAGTGGATCCTACCGCCTGAGGCAGTTGCTTTACTTGGCCTCATGGGTGGGCTGGCCCTGCCAGGAAGAAGTAATTTTTATTATTGAGGGAGTGCTCAGCCGCTCCCACAAAACTTTTAAAAGACTTCCCTTTAAAAAGCCACCACAGTTAGCAGCTGCCGGGGGCACTGTAGGCAGCCTCGCCAGCTGCCTATGTATATAGGAAAGGCCAGCTGAGGACATTGTGGGGACCTCAGGAAGTGCAGGCACCTGGGGAGGCTGCAGACCTCCAGAGAGATGGTTTGCAGAATTAAAGAGAGGATCCTCAACTACCTCAAAAGTAAGGTAAGAAGAACAAAATGCCCACACGTTGTAATTTTTGAATAAAACGTCCTATTAATTGATGTGAAATGTTTGACAAGAACGTAGAAGAAAATTTCAGCACAGCACCAGTGGCTTCAGCCCTCCCCCCTGCCCCCAAATGGTGGTAGAAAGGTGGCATGAGCAGAGCTGGCCCCCAATGAGCCCTTGATATGGGATCAGTCCTGTGCCCAGTCTCCAGTACACAAGGTCGGAAAATCCCTGGCCCAAGACTTGGGGTTTGGGGAGGTCCTACAGAGACTTGGAGCCCCCAAAGGTGGTGAAGATTCCAGCTTCCTCATACCCAGTTTTACACCACAGTTCACCCAAAGGAAAGCTCTTTTGTGGGCAGACCCTCACATGATTGCTCTCTTACTCCACTTTCTGCTAACCAGCTTCCAAATCCATTTTGCAGGGCTGGAAAAATTAAATTGCCCTGGAATTTGGCACAGCTGGTTCCTGGGCAATGGGAATATTATTCCAGCCCTAAAGTCCTGTTTCCACCCTATGCCTTCCCAGTGGCTCAGGCGTGTAATAGCAGTAGGGAGTCACCTTACCCCATATATGCCCGCTCAAGTGCTTCAGCCTGCAGAACTGGCACTGTTACAGGTGCCACATCATCCCCATTCCACACACATACATAGCTCATCATTTAGTGTGGCAGAGCCTGCACTTCGGAACTTCCTGCCTATTGACACCAGGCAGGTGCTTTCCTTTACTCTTTTTGGTGCCTGCATAAAATGTTTTTGTTTAGGCAAGTCTCTCCAGTCAGGTAGAAGTTACATGTGTTTTATCTCTCTTTAGCCACTGTAGATTTCAATTCGTCTGTTTAATGCTTTTATATACCTGATTTTATGGGATGTGGGTGGCGCTGTGGGTTAAACTACAGAGCCTAGGACTTGCCGATCAGAAGGTCGGTGGTTCGAATCCCCGCAATGGGGTGAGCTCCCGTTGCTCGGTCCCTGCTCCTGCCAACTTAGCAGTTCAAAAGCACGTCAAAGTGCAAGTAGATAAATAGGTACCGCTCTGGCGTGAAGGTAAACGGCGTTTCCATGCGCTGCTCTGGTTCGCCAGAAGCGGCTTAGTCATGCTGGCCACATGACCCGGAAGCTGTACGCCGGCTCCCTCGGCCAGTAAAGCGAGATGAACGCCGCAACCCCAGAGTCGGTCACGACTGGACCTAATGATCAGGGGTCCCCTTTACCTTTACTATACTTGATTTTAACTGTGTTTTCCCCACCCCTCAGAGAATCTTAATAGTTTATTTTAATTTTATGTAGACTTCTTGTTTTACAATCAAGTGGTATATCAGTTTTGTTAAATAAACACATGAAAGCACTTAATAGCGGAACCCTCAGCTCAGTCACTCCTGCTCCCTTAATCCTGCCTGCTAGATGCCCAGCTGAGCCACACAGGAGACAGGTTTAAATGGGTTAAATTACCTGATCTGAAAATCCATTTGCCACGGACAGATACTCCTCTGGGTAAGTTGCAAAAATATGTGCCGTTTTATTTACTCCTGTGACGGTGAGCTTTCCCTCAGTGTAGAACATCAATAAATCTAAGGGGAAATGATGGTTAATAAATATCAAGCATTTAAACAGCATATTTCAGAGCACCTCATAGAAGGGGACTGCAGGCCCTTTTGTGCTCTTGAGGCATTGCTTTCTTGCAACCAGCATGAAGTGAAATTAAAAAGTCTGCTTGGTGTACACACACACACACACACACACACACACACACACACCATTAAAACCCTTCAGGTGGTGCACATTCCTGAACTAACCACTGTTCTCTCCTTGCGGGAGAGGGGAGATTTAATTACTCATTTCCTCTTTGCAGCCAGAGCAATTGCTGAGCATTTTTAATGTTTCTGTTTATTATAAATAATGATCAGAATTATTTTTTTATGACTGCAAAGAGGAGACCTAGAATTAAAGCCTTCCGCCATCCACAGCAGGGAACAGGGGCTGTCTAACTAAGGGTCAACCCAGGAATGTTGGCCCTGGCAGAGGACAGGAGACAAGCAGGGGCAAAAGTCTCTTGAAAAGAAAAGGTCAAGGAGGAGCCTTCTAATTAAAGAGACAGATCCTCTGAAAAGAGGAGTTTGTTGCTAGTCCACATGGGACAAGTGGAGGCAAAAATTAACTAACTAATTAAGTAATTAATCTGTCACATCTGAAGAAAGGCAGGAAGAACTCACACACTTTGGCAGAAACCTTTTATAGATTTTCTGGGAATAAAACAAATGAGAGTGAACAACGAGTGAAGTTAATTCTGGAGGAAATGGCTTCAGTGGAAGCAAACCCCAGTCTGCAAACTTGGACCGCCCTCTCATACCCTCCAACATTTCTCCGATGAAAATAGGGACACCTCATTCCATAATGATAATTTTACTATTTATACCCCACACATCTTACTGGGTTGCCCCAGCTACTCTGGACAGCTTCCAACATATATAAAAACATAATACATTTAACATTAAAAAAAGCTTCCCTATACAGTGGTACCTCGGGTTAAGAACTTCATCGGGTTATATGCTTCAGGTTACATACGCTTCAGGTTACAGACTCTGCTAACCCAGAAATAGTACCTCGGATTAAGAACTTTGCTTCAGGATGAGAACAGAAATCGGGCTCCGGCGGCGCGGCAGCAGCAGGAGTCCCCATTAGCTAAAGTGGTGCTTCAGGTTAAGAACAGTTTCAGGTTAAGAACGGACCTCTGGAACGAATTAAGTTCTAACCCGAGGTACCACTGTACAGGATTCCCTTCAGACAGGTAAGATATGGCAAGATAACGCCATATCCGCAAACATTTCTCCAATGAAAATAGGGACATCCTAAGGAAAAGTGGGACATTCCAGGATCAAATCAGAAACTGGGACGGCTTCTCTAAATCCAGGACGTCCCTGGAAAATAGGGAGACTTGGAGGGCTTGCCCGCTCCCTCCCGTCTTTCTCTGAAACATGCTTTTCTTTACCTCCCCCCACTTTGTACACGTGTGTGTGTGTGTGTTGTTTAGTTCAGCATCAAGGCTGATCAAGCATGATTAGCATCCTAATAAGAATAATATTAATTAATAAATGATGCCCGCTACTGTTACTTCTGTTTGTTTTCTAATGGCACAACAGAGTTACCTCTAATGATTATCCCTGAATAAAGGTAAAGGTAAAGGGACCCCTGGCCATTAGGTCTAGTCGTGGGCGACTCTGGGGTTGCGGCACTCATCTTGCTTTATTGGCTGAGGGAGCCAGCATACAGCTTCTGGGTCATGTGGCCAACATGACTAAGCTGCTTCTGGCTAACCAGAGCATCGCACGGAAACGCTGTTTACCTTCCCACCGGAGCAGTACCTATTTATCTACTTGCACTTTGATGTGCTTTCGAACTGCTAGGTTAGCAGGAGCAAGGACCGAGCAACGGGAGCTTCACCCAGTTGTGGGGATTCGAACCAACGACCTTCTGATCGGCAAGTCCTAGGCTCTGTGATTTAACCCACAGCACCACCCGTGTCCCTTATGTGGGTGGATACCAGGTTTCATATTTGATAGCTAAACCTTATTTCTGGGCAAAATCCCTTAAAAAGTATTGTTGCATGCCACCTCAATCTCTGAGTGGTGTGAGATTCCAGGGTTTCCAGGAACTTACCCAGGGTTCAGTTTCCTTAGAATGAGGGACAGTGGAGACTCTGGTGTCTTTAAGATATATGGCTTATTAACACACATATATACAACCTCACAGCATTAATACCTTGAAAGGTCTTGCTTCTCCCATAGTCACAGAATCTGATTCCAGCAGAGGTCAAGAATGGCTCTGACACCCAACTTCTGCCTGCAGTCTGCTCTCAGCTCACACACCAGCCAAGTGACGAGGGGCAAAGACCCCCATTTGCCCACTAGTACAGACGCGGGTGGTGCTGTGGTCTAAACCACTGAACCTCTTGGGCTTGTCGATCAGAAGGTCGGCGGTTCAAATCCCCACGACAGGGTGAGCTCCCGTTGCTCAGTCCCTGCCAACCTAGCAGTTCGAAAGCACATCAAAGTGCATTTAGATAAATAGGTACCGCTCCAGCGGGAAGGTAAACGGCGTTTCCGTGTGCTGTTCTGGTTTGCCAGAAGCGACTTAGTCATGCTGGCCACATGATCCAGAAGCTGTCTGTGGACAAATACCGGCTCCCTCGCCCAATAATGCGAGATGAGTGCCGCAACCCCAGAGTCATCTGCGACTGGACCTAACGGTCAGGGGTCCCTTTACCTTTACAGACCACTAGGGTTATTAACTCGCAAAGAAACTTGCCTGACTAGTTCAACAATGGAATTCTCCATTAAATTTTAACCCTTGCTAGATCTACGAGGACCTCAGGAATGAGAAGGGACTCAGGCATCATACAGACTAACCCCACAAACTCACAGCAGTATTCTCCATTGTCTACTAGACTGTCATTTCAGTCTGGGCACCACAAAACACATCCAATCTAGCAGGAACTTCTTCTTCTTTTTGGACAGGAGGGGTCAGAAGCTACCTTGAAATGACATGAGATTCCTACAAGAAATTTCAACTTTTGAGTGTTGGCCAAAAGGTTTCAACCTAAGCGTAACTTTGGTCTTTGTTGGGAAGTTTCTTGAGGAGGAGGAGGAGACTGGTCTCTTCCACTCACCGTAGTTGATCCAATAGACAGCAGCTGCTCCAACAAATGCACCAAGAAACTGTGCTACGACATAAACAGGGAATTTAATCCATCTTATCTTCCCCGACAGGCACATGGCAAAGGTAACGGCTGGGTTTATGTGACCACCTGAAAGAAGGAAGGTAGGGAGAAGAACAAGGGTTGGGAATAATTTTTATATGCAAGTTTTTATGAATTAGATATTTCCCTTCAGTAGATTTATTTCTTACTTATTCATTGCATTTATATCCCACCTTCCCCCCCAAGAAGCTCAAGGTGGCATACATGGTTCTCCCTATCTTTGTTTCATCCTCACAGCAACCCTGTCAGGTGGGTCAGGCTGAGAGGGAGAGTGACTGGCCACCCAGTAGTTTCATGTCCTATCCTGACACTCTAATCACTACACCACTACTACAACTAGAGGTTTGGTGAAATAGTACATCCTATCATAGTACCAAGACTTTGGCCACCTCATGAGAAGAGAAGACTCCCTGGAAAAGACCCTGATGTTGGGAAAGATGGAGGGCACAAGGAGAAGAGGACGACAGAGGACGAGATGGTTGGATAGTGTTCTTGAAGCTACCAGCATGAGTTTGACCAAACTGCGGGAGGCAGTGGAAGACAGGAGGGCCTGGCGTGCTCTGGTCCAGGGGGTCACGAAGAGTCGGATATGACTAAACGACTAAACAACAACAACAACAACATCATAGTACCAGCTTCATTTTGGGTGGCCAAGTGGGTGATCCTTCTCCTGGTTCCATTCCAAGCCCAGTCCTTGGTGATTGTTCTGACACAGAAAGCCACAGACAGCTTGGAACCGAGGCATTTGATGGGTTGCCCTGAGCACCTGCCCAGACATGGTGATGGCTTTGGGCATGGGGAACACCCATTCAACTGTGCCACATCTGCTGAGCTCTTGTCTTGAGGCCACGCTGGCACCCGGATTGCAGAAGGCCCTTCCCCCTTAGTCTCAGGTTCGACTGGCGCCAACTCTGCATGGCTTGTCAGCACAGGTTAAAAGCAAATTTATCTTCCCACCTGCCTTTGTCTAAATTGGCACTGCTAGAGGAGGGCTGCGCCCTTGTTGAACTTAATGAATGAATGAATCAATCAATCTTTATTTGCTTCATTGCCATCGGCCATAGCAATAAAACAACAATACGATATACAAAGAATAGAAATAAAAAGTCAATTATATAAAATACATTTTAGGGTTTTGAATCAATAGTCAAATAGTGGATCTTATTCTGATTGCCCCAGATAAAAATCTGTTGAACTTGTTGGTTTGCTGATGCTACTGCTCTTTTAAGGTTCTGTTCTGTTTTATTTAAAAGGACGCTTTTAAATGCGTGGCGCTGTGGGTTAGACCACAAAGCCTAGGACTTGCCGATCAGAAGGTCGGCGGTTCGAATCCCCGCAATGGGGTGAGCTCCCCTTGCTTGGTCCCTGCTCCTGCCAACCTAGCAGTTCGAAAGTGCGTCAAAGTGCAAGTAGATAAATAGGTACCGCTCCGGTGGGAAGGTAAACGGTGTTTCCGTGTGCTGCTCTGGTTCGCCAGAAGCGGCTTAGTCATGCTGGCCACATGACCTGGAAGCTGTACACTGGCTCCCTTGGCCAGTAAAGCGAGACGAGCGCCGCAACCCCAGAGTCGGTCACGACTGGACCTAATTGTCAGGGGTCCCTTTACCTTTACCTTATGTTTTATTTATAATTTGGTTTTATTACACTCTAGGAATTATCAGTGCTTTTTTTTACCTAGAAAAAAATGGTGCCAGTACTGACCATGAAGTTGTTACAGTAAGTGCCACATTTTTAACATGGGGGGAAGGTGCTGGGACTGTGTCCCCTTGAGGACCCCCCAGAAAAAAGCACTGGGCGTTATATTTTTTACATGCTATCCTGCTCCAGGATTGGATTTTATGAAGAGCAGCCTAGAAATGCCTCAGATAGATAGATACATGCAAAGCAACCATAACTGAGGTGGTATACGGCCCCTGACTTTAATGAAATGTTTCTGATAACAGTGACCTTTGCCTGTCAAAGGGGAGCTGGGAAGAAGGGGCCCCCTCTACGTGATCCCTCTGTTTGCTTGCACTGGGGGGTCAGGGTGTTATCTCAGGCACCCGAGAGCACCTCTGATGTATCATGAGCAGCAAACACAGATAACCAAAGTTGGATAAAGGCCAGCATTGTAATGTCTCCAAAATGGTGTGACCTGCGACGAGCCACGGGGGAGTTAATTCTGAACTTTGGATTATTTCTTCTTTCACATTCTTCATCTAAGGATTGATGTCTGCTGGTTCTGTGTGCCGAAGAGGTGGCTTTTCAAATTTCCTTGCCTTTTGGTTTTCTTTTAATCTGAATGAACAATTTTCTTCTCTTTCAGCAATTGCAAATATGGGCAGCGCATGGTAAGGTTTGGAGTAAAGAATTCATTTACTTTGTCATGAGGCCTTGTCCATCACTGACCGTTCCTGTCAAAAGAATGATTGTGTCTCTTGCTATGGATTCAGCCATTGAGCAGCACTGATGTGAAATGACTGACTGGTATGTGAGTGAAATGAGGGAGGGGCCACATGCCAAGGGTGGGCAGGGCCACAGGCAAAAAAGGGGAAGCTGACTTTATACAGTAGGCTGCAGTCCAACCACACACAAGGCAGAGGCATCCATGCTGGACCTGTTCGCATTCGCTCCATCCTGCACCCAGGCAAACAAGAGTCGCCGGCCATTAACGCCAAGGAGGCATTCCAACCAGGCAAAAGCACTTGAGGAGGGCAGAGAAGAGAACAGACGAGGCACTTGGCCTGGAAGCTCAGAGAGAGACTTCCAGGGCTGTCTTGATCTCCTGAGTTTGCTGTTCTACTCTGTCAGTCTGAAACATCTTGATAGCGTTGAGCCATTTGCAGAATGGAGAAGGGGAAGGGCTGTAGCTCAGTGGCAGAGGCCCCCATTTTGTAAAAAGAAGCTCCTGTGGCTGGGAAAGACTTCCACTTGGGAGAGTGGCTGGAAGAGCCATGGCTAGTCAGCTTAGGCAACCATGGGAGAGATGGGTGGACCAGTGTCCTGACTCATTATAAGGCTGTCCACTCTCTCTGGGCCTTGGAGCCCTACATGAGAAGAGGATGAGGACTGCTGTCCTCTCCTCCTTTTGCAGTGTGGTCCTGTGGGTTAAACCACAGAGCCTAGGACTTGCCAATCAGAAGGTTGGCAGTTCGAATCCCCGCGACAGGGTGAGTTCCCATTGCTCAGTCCCTGCTCCTGCCAACCTAGCAGTTCGAAAGCACATCAAAGTGCAAGTAGATAAATAGGTACCGCTCCGGCGGGAAGGTAAACGGCGTTTCTGTGTGCTGCTCTGGTTCGCCAGAAGCGGCTTAGTCATGCTGGCCACATGACCCGGAAGCTGTACGCCGGCTCCCTTGGCCAATAAAGCGAGATGAGCGCCGCAACCCCAGAGTTGGTCACGACTGGACCTAATGGTCAGGGGTCCCTTTACCTACATGCAAAATAGCCCTCGCTGAATGTGGACATCAAACATCACCATCGAAACATAGAATTGCAGAGTTAGAACAGTGGTTCTCAAACTTTTTTCTCTGGGCCACACTTTCAGAATAAAAAATTGCTCATGCCACACGCTCTCTCCCAGTCTAGTGAGTCCATCAACCTCACCCTGGCCCATTATCTGCGTGTGACCTTTGCAAAGCGGCAAGAAAACAGATGAGGCAAATATTTTGAAAAATGGCACTTTGACAAGCAGGTGTCATTAGGTAGCCGTTTTCATTTGTGGCATGTTAGAAATTATGGCTTACACAGTGGCTCTTCTTCTTCACAAACTGTTGATAAGACTTCTGTGACACTTCCTTTGTTGTTAAATGATGTGCAAATTTGTTGTCCCAATCATTATCTTAGAAGAGGCACCCAGGAGAAAACGACTTTTCCAATACTGGTATTTGCTGTGTGCAGTTATTATAAATACTTGCATTAAAACAGTGTTTTAAAAATCTGCATCAGTGTGTGATAAGTTGACTAATCAACTGAAGTGTTGCAGCTTTGCACCAAATACTATTGTTGGTGTGGAGTGTGTGTCAACATTTAATTAGGAGTAGGGGAAAATGGAGATCACCATACAATCTGTGCATATGTGCATGAAAAAAATGGTGATGCATGGATTTGGAAAGGCAACATCTAAGTTGCAAATATTTAGTACAAAAGCCATAAAAATGCCATCAAAACAGAAGCCCTGTTTCCCCCCCTGAATTTTGCAAATACAATTTCTTACAAATCTTGGCTGTTTCTGAACATTTTGGATTACCTTTTAAATCCTTTAATCTCTCTCTCTCTCTCTCTCTCTCTCTCTCTCTCTCTCTCTTTCTGTTCGTGCAACACAGTTTACCACCAGCTCTCTTCTGAGTTACTTCTCCTTTAATAACTCCAACTATAGGTTCATATTGCAGATTATTTTCCAGTGAGTCACCCATTATAATGTGGATGCCTTTCTTGGTATTATTCCTGCATTTATTTCTTATGCAACAGGGGTGTTTTTTGTTTGTTTTGTTTGTTCCCAGGGGGCAACACTTGCCTGCTGTCTTTAATTTAAATCAATCCACTCATTTTCAATGGACTGATGTACGGTAGCCAGTTAATTGAATACACAGTGCAGCCTTACTAAATATTTTCACTGTTGTAGACACTATGAAAATAGCCATCAGATTTGTACTGTATAACATTTTCAAGTGTTCAAAGTGCTTCATTCACTGTTACCTACAGAATCTCTGAAATAGACCTTGCAACAACCCTGTAAGGTAAATCAGGATTATTATCCCACCCTCTTTATTACAAAAGGGGGGGTGAGCGGAGAAAGGGGGCTTTGGCTAAGGCCACTGAGTTTTTTTATGGCAGAGATAAGATGCAAGCTGTGAACCTCCTGATCTGTAGTCTAGTTTCCTAGCCATCCCACCAGCTCTCTTCCAACTTCTTTAGCAACACGGTGAAAATGTCAGCTTACCAGAAACACCTCCGGCGATATAGATGGCGATAGTGACAGCCATGGCAAAGCCAAGAGATATCATTGGTGCTCCTCCCAATTCACCTCTGCTAAGGACAGACTGCGCAACCGCGCCACATCCCAGGGCCTGCAGTTTGGGAGAGAGAGAGAAAGAGAGGGAGGGTGGGTGTACGCTCATGGTTTATAATGTTAAGGAAGGGCTAAGGAATGGTTTTCATAATGTAGTTGAACACGTTACGTTCTACTTTGAACGGTCATAAAGCATTATTAAAATGTGACACTAGAGGGTGCTGCAGAGCAATCTGGAACCAGCAATAGGCAAAGAGTGTTTTGAGGATTAAAACAGGTAAGAAATGCTTTTAATTTACAAGTAGGCCCTGTGACGTTTTATAATGATATATCTAATATCGTTCTAATAGCATTAAATAGGTCAGTGTAGACCCAGCCAGAGAGAGAGAAAAGCATGCAGCCAGAATTTCATCTTCTTGCCAAGATCCTAAAAAATGGGCACATCACCTCCAAGTGTACTTTTGCACGGATCTTTTTTTAAAACCTGTTTTCCCATCAAAGGCATGTTGTGCATATCGCATACATCCTTTGTCCATTAAAACAAAAAAATGAAGCCAGTTCTTTGAAGCAATTTGCCCACTGCAGGGCCCCTGCTATATTTGTGAATACCTTGTTCCTCTTGACAGGGTGGAGAATTTTCGGAAAGGGCTACTCATTATTTGCAAACGCAAACTTTAACTTAAGCATTATTTGATTAACTGGCATATTTTAATTGGTGAGTCTGTAGAGCAAGGAGGACACAGGTGTGTTTTTTTGGTTTGTTTTTTTTTGAGATTCTGGTTCCAGCATCTTAAAAATTCACCTACCGTATTTTTCGCTCTATAAGATGCACCAGATCACAAGACGCACCTAGTTTTTGGAGGAGGAAAACAAGATAAAAAATATTCTGAATCTCAGAAGCCAGAACAGCAAGAGGGATCGCTGCGCGGCGAAAACAGCAATCCCTCCTGCTGTTCTGGCCTCTGGGATGGCTGCGCAGCCTGCATTCGCTCCATAAGACGCACACACATTTCCCCTTACTTTTTAGGAGGGAAAAAGTGAGTCTTATAGAGCCAAAAATACGGTATATTTAGGTTTTGGTGGTATGCAAATATATTTCAGCTTTAGTTAATTGATTGATCAAAAGACTGCATTATAATCTACCTCGAATTGTTTAATCTATTGTCAAGCCTTCGAAAAAGCTATATGAAGCAAATAAAAGTGAAACCTGACCCTTTTAGCCAGCTTAAAAGCTTCCTTGGGAAATGAAAGGGGAAGTGGAGAGGCCAGGAAATCCTGATGCCAAGGTCAACCAAGAAAAATACAGTTTAAAATGAGAGATCCTCTATAAACCATTTGGTTTCTCTGATAATTTATCTTCCCCCAGCCCCACCCTGACACTAAACGTTTCATGAGAATTTAGTCTGTTTTATTAGATGTCAGTGGAACCCATTCCTCTTCGGGGTCTCCTCACGACCCACATTCAGGGTATTATTAATGGACTCCACTATAAAAATGTCCCTTCTCACGTTCAAACTTCTGCCCAGTTCAGAGCAGCCCCAAAGCATGGAACTCTCTGTAAAACTGGGCTGCATTTCACTTCCTTAAATGTTGTGAAAACAAGGGTGAATTTGACATTTCCTTCCCTAATTACAAGCAGTGATTCAGACTTTTTTTCCATCCAAGAGCAGAGCTTCTCTTTGTGGCAAATGTTGAGTCCAGAGGGGGTGGGAATGGGGCTGCTAGTAGGGATGGCAAGAAGGGATTTAGTTTGTTTCAGCTACCAAATTTACACTTCCCCAAACAATACACAAATCACAACACAGATACCCTTTGAAATTTACACTTCTATGAATTTTGCAGTTTAGATATCTGACAAAAATGAATGCATACAAAACTGTGTATAAAATGCATATATTGGTGAAAATGACATAAAATGTATTGTTTAAAAATGCACACAAGATGAGTTTATTAAGAGTAATGCCCACTAAAACACTGACAATTTTTCATGGGATTTTTTTGCAAACACACACACACACGGAAATGTAATCAACTTAATTTTAAGTCTGGGGAAATGAGAAACTGAAAAGAATCCATAGTTGTTGCCGTGGGCACAAAACCACCCTACATGCCCAATTCTATGCTATAATTCGAGGCAGCCCTGTTTTCAGGGGTGCATATGGCCTGAGATCCACACTTCCAGAAACCTTTCTGATGCTGCACCTCAGAATCCTTTGTGACATTGCAGGAGAGCTCCCATTCATTTCACTGATGGTTGTGCAAGAGAAATTGCAGGTGGCGAGAGGTGAGGAAATGCAGTGCCGCATGGATTGTCCCACTCAGGCACAGTGAAATTGGCACAATCTGAATAAACCAGCCCCTCTTTGCTGACTTGGTCAGATGCTGGCCTGGCAGTTATGCCCCACACAATTCCCCCCCTGTTCCATTTCCTTGTATAATATGACATTACACAAGTGGCCACCCGATATGCAGATAATCTCTTCTCAGGTGGTTTGGATTGTGCTCATATAACACTTACTTTCCCTCTTCACTAAAGAAGGGGGGAAAAGGCAATTTCCTTCTTTGTCTCCTGCAGTCATTTACTCTAGAGTAGCCTGTCTTGCAACAAGGGACGCAGGTGGCGCTGTGGGTTAAACCACAGAGCCAAGGACTTGCTGATCAGAAGGTTGGTGGTTTGAATCCCCGTGACGGGGTGAGCTCCCTTTGCTCGGTCCCTGCTCCTGCCAACCTAGCAGTTCGAAAGCATTTCAAAGTGCAAGTAGATAAATAGGTACCGCTCCGGCAGGAAGGTAAACGGCGTTTCTGTGCGCTGGTCTGGTTTGCAAAAAGCGGCTTAGTCATGCTGCCCACATGACCCGGAAGCTGTACGCCGGTTTCCTCGGCCAATAAAGCGAGATGAGCGCCGCAACCCCAGAGTCGGCCACGACTGGACCTAATGGTCAGGGGCCCTTTACCTTTACTAGCCTGTCTTGCACTGGCTACATCAGCAGATGGCCAGCCTGTCACAACTCAGCTCTGCCCAAAGGCAGGGAGGACAATAGAGAAACCAACCAGGACATGACAGAAGTCACTACACTATGATGGTTCTCCCTGACACCTATAAAACAGCCTTTGTCAACCTGGTGCCCTCTAAATGTTTTGGACTACAACTCCCATCAGCCCCAGCCTGCAGTTCAAAACAACTGAAGGGCAACAGATTGGCGCATGTGGCTCTCCAAGGTTTCTGGGCCAGGCTTGTTCCTGGGGCTGCCTGGGCATGGGCTCTCCTGGGCCTCCTCTATGCTTGGCAGGAGCTACGGCTGGCAAATCTGCACCTCTTTGCCCTCACTTCCCAATTCTCATTATCCTTGCCGTTTGATTTTCCGCCCAGCGATAAATAAGAAAGATGGTAGCTATTAACCGAAAGCTTAGCTTGGCAGCGTGTGAGGATGGCCGCCTGGGCCGCCTCTGCCAAAAAGCCCTTGCCTCACAAGACACCGGATCCTTGTTTTTGTCTGGAAGGTGGCTAACCTCACATGGAGGAAAACAGTTCTCCCTCCGAGGAGGGAGCAGCTCCCTTATCCCCTAGGAAGTTGCCGTGTTTCATCGGCAGCCCACTCATACGGGAGATTAAAGACCGGTGTCTTTTTCTTTCAGCTGCTTTCAGGAAGTATGTATTAGTGTTTCCAAGATACATAAATATGACTTTCCAGTATAAATAGGGTTTTTCTAAGAGGTCTGGGCCCTCAGCTTTTGGAAGAACAGGTCCTCCCTGGGTGGCCTCGGCCAGGCTGGTAATTCCTTTGGCCTCCGTTCTCACTTCGTTAAATGGGGATTAGAGAGACAGCTACCCTACAGTTGGGATCCGCCTTTGCCAGAGGATATTTGATGTTAGCGAAGCTGACTAGAAACTGAGGCAGAAATGTCTGATAATAAATAAAGTCACCTCCCCAGCCTTTCTTAATGAATAAGCTAAGGGTGATTTAGAGTCCTGGATAAATTGTCTTATGACAAGGAAAGGCCCATGGTGTACATTCATTTTATCCCGTTATCAACTTTGGTCTAACAGGTGTGGTAGGTTTTTTGGGGAACCACAGAAATATTCAAAACCTATTTAACCAGAGATCATAGAGTGATAGAGTTGGCCTTGTAAGTCACTTAGTAGAGTGCATTGCAAAACATGAGAATCCTCGTTGTTATGCATTTTTACATGGCTGTTTATTTGTATATATATTTTTAAAAATTATATGTATGTTTTATGATGGCCTATATTTGTAATGCCTAATAAAGTTTTGGCAAAGTAAGCAAGCATTGCAAGAAAAGGACAATGATTTGCATACATTCACATGTGCATAGATGCAAATTTTGAAATAACAATATAAATGAAAAAGAGATACAATATATCTCACCACAGAGGGGTTTCCCAGATGACCCTTATGGCCCCTTCCATCCCTGCAATTCTATGGTTTTATGGTAGGATTGCTATACATCTAGAATTTCCCAGACATAGACTATATTCTGCTTTTGCTAGGAGTGTCTGGGCATAAATTGATTTAATGTCCGGGAAAATCCGGATGTATGGCAGCCCTATTCTATGGATTTTCACCTTTTTAAATATGGCAACCCTATTCTATGGATGTTCTTGGACTCCAGCTCCCATCAGCTCCTTCTGACGTGGCCATCGGTCAAGGATGCTCCTGGCCAGGAATGATGGGAGAGCCAGTGTGGCACAGTGGTTAGAGTGCTGGACTAGGACCTGGGAGACGGGGCTTCAATCCCTGCTCAGCCATGAAACTCACTGGGTGTGAACTTGGGCCAGTCACAGCCTCTTAGCCTAATAATAGAGGACACAATTGATTCAGCAGTGCAGAAATGCCTGAATGAGTGAACATGCTGTCCAAATGATGGTGGGATGACGATGTACACACCATAGGCAACAACTGTGCTCTCTTTTCACCTTCAGCTCTTTCAAAAACTGCCATCCATCTGCAGCCTAGCAAAAGAGCAATCTGAGAAATATCCTCTGCAGCATTGCCAGGGGACTGGGGAGCACGGCCTGTAGCTGGTTGTGCGGACATT